ATTAATTGCATGGTGAAGTTGGGCAGATCTCACTAGTGAAGTCGGGCAGCCCGGCGACTCGACGATGAAGGATGAAGGCGAGATCGATGCATGGCTATGCTGCAGGCAGGGCTCAATGAAGTAGACGAGATGCTGAAGGCAGTAGATCAACGATAGAGATGAGATGCCCACGGCGGCGGCTTGAGGACAATGAGGACGAACATCTTACAAGGTGCGGCTGCACATCGACGGTGATGAACATGCTTGGCAATCCGTATGGTGGGCTGATGGCCAGTGTTTCAACATGACGCCGACGGGCGCTGTGGGCGTGGTTAAACGAGTTCATCCATGGCATATCATATAAATTGGTTGATGCATCAGGCGGCCGAAGAACATGCATGCAAAGTCAATGTACATATAACTATCCAGTATAATTGTTCATTTATTGAAGAACACATACTTCTTTGGATCTTTCCGGTGTATACTTCTTCATTCAAGATTGAAGCATACAGTCAATAAAAAAATCAGTATATACCGCCCTAATCTAGATTGTAGTATATACCTCTCTGGCTTTGTGTGTAGTATAGTATACTTCAGATCTGAAGTAAAAAAAGAAGGTACTATATTATTTGAAACAAGTATGTATACTCCCAGTTGTTTTAGTTGTATAAAAAAAGAATAGTATGAAAATGCATCCTAAACATATAAGTAACATTTTCCCCGTGTTGAACTATACAGTGTTTTGATTCGTGCAGTATTTTGATTTGTCTCGGTCCATGTAATGTCCAACTGATTCGTCTCGGTCCACACCACTTCAGCCTGGTCCCATTGAAATGCTAAGCCCTAACGCCTCCACGCTATCCATAAATAATCGCCATCTCTCTTACGCCGTCACCAAAAACCCTAGCAACCATGACAGCCGCCGTCCTCGCACGCCCGACGCTGGGCAACGTCCAGTGCTTCGGCAGGAAGAAGACCGCCGTGGCTGTGGCCCACTGCAAGCCCGGCCGCGGCCTCATCAAGGTCAGCGGCGCGCCGATCGAGCTCGTCCGCCCAGAGATGCTCCGCCTCAAGGCCCTGGAGCCGATCCTGCTCGCCGGGAAGTCCCGCTTCAAGGGCATCGACATGAGGATCCGCGTGCGCGGCGGCGGCAAGGTGAGCCAGGTCTACTCGATCCGCCAGGCCATCGCCAAGGCGCTCGTCGCCTACAACCAGAAGTACGTCGACGAGGCAGCCAAGAAGGAGGTCAAGGAGATCCTGGGCCGCTATGACCGCACGCTGCTCGTCGCCGACCCGCGCCGTTGTGAGCCCAAGAAGTTCGGCGGCCGCGGCGCCCGTGCCCGCTTCCAGAAGTCGTACCGTTGAGCTCCCGTCCAACGAGATCCCTTGTCTTCTTGCATACTATGCTATCTTAGGTTAATGATGAGATCGAATGTCCTGATAGTTTTTTTCTTTATTATTTGTTTCGACCTGTTTGAGCTTGATTTTAAGATAAATCTATAGGCACTACGTTGTACCTAGGTTAGCTTACAGGTCCTACATCTCCATGGGCAGATTTTGTATTAATTACAGTGCAACCAGTTTAGCTGTAGATTATCCATTCGCAGTTGATTGTTACTGCAACTCTGGAGAAGAGAAGTAAAACCAGTGACATACCGGCATGTCTATGATTTGTTACGAGACCATTTGTTCATAACCTACAATTTTGATGACCGAAGTCTCAATCCGTGTAAAGTTGTGTTGCTTACTGAAACTTTTGTAAAACCCCATGCCACTCTTACGCCCACCCAGGCAACTCCATGGAGTGGGCACTGGTTATGCAGAAAACCACCGCATTTGTGGCTATGGTACTTTGCCAAAAATAACTGAAGAGTGAAGACCAGCGCTTCTTCGGCAAGTGAATAATAGATTGCACCGATTCGAAATTGAGCTGCCTCTAACAGCAAAACTGACCCATCAGGCCCACCTGGGGCGAGGAGAGGGACGTAGCCGGAGGAGGGCGTGGTCGTGGCCAAGGTTTTGGTTACCGGTCGAAATTTCGAGATTTACCATGGTTACCGCGTATTTCCGTGCCCCTCGGTAAATCCACGTACCAAGCAAAAAATACCAGTTATTTGAATTTTTTGAATTTAAACACTCAATTTATAGTAAAGTACATAGAATCTAATTAATACCATGAGAGTTGGTTTTGGCTTGTTGGTCGGAACCTAGTTCCTGTTTTGAGAGGTCTTTGGTTCAAATGTTCGTTCATTAACTTATTTGAATTCAAAATTCAACTATAAAATTCGTTCGGAATATTCTCGGTATTTTTCGGTATTTCTCGGTAACCGTGGTAACCGCGTTTTCCAGTCCCCCTCGGTAAAAATGCCTCATTCGGTAACCAAAACCTTGGTCGTGGCCCACCTATTGTGCAGCAAGCGGCGGCGTCGCGCGTCAGGGCGGGAAGAGGGCCAGTCGAAGCACGGGGTGCGGGGCGGCCGTGTCCTAGGCCGTAGCCATCGATTTGGTCGGAGCCGAGCTCCCGCCTGTGGCCGTACCGGTGATTTGGTTGGAGCCGAGCTCCCGCCCGTGGCCGTAGTCGTCGATGGCCATGGGAGCCCGCTCCCCTTGCTCCTGTACTCGCACCTGCGCGAGCCCCACATGCACACACACACCAACCTCGTACCCGCACACGCTCTCGATGGCGAGCTCTGGCTAGCGTCGGCCACGAGCCATGCCTGACGACGACACTAGGGACAACCGCAAGGGAGCTCGTGTGCGAGTCCTCGACCGGAGCTCCCAACCGCTCCCCCCATGGAGTGCCGTCGGTGGTTGAACAATGCCAGCGCGTCGGGGCGGGAGAGGGTGAGGCTCCGTGAACCGTCCCTGAGGTCAGGCTCATTGGCGCCGCTGGTGTCCTTCGGCTCCGCTCGCATTTCTGCCGGTGGCGCCCCCAACTCGGAGGCGGCCAGGAGGGAAGTCATCCACGACGGCAAGGAGCAAAGAGCTCCGGCGGCGGCCATGGCGAGATTTGCCGTGGGGGCGGAATGAGTGGGAGTGGGTCAGTGTGTGCGTCGGCCCGAACCTGTTTGCAAACGCCGCTAGCGTCCGTCTCAGCTCATTCACGCCCATGGCCCCGCAAGTGGGCCCAACCTGTCAGGTTTGCTGCTAGTCGCAGTTCGCAGCTTATTTAGTGCAGTCTGTTATTCAGTTGCCGAAGAAGCAGTGGTCTTGTGTTATTTTTGGCAAAAGAGGTAGTTTTGGAATACCCCAGCCACATGTGATGGTTTTCAGCAATTTCCTCGTAGGAGGGCCATGCGTGGTGAGTGATCGCGACGACATGGTGGTGCTCACTATGCTCATTCGAGTGGTGCACAGCATCCTCGCCATGAACAGACAAAGAACAAGGCTTGTGCAGATCTGAACAGCATGAAAGTCGAGAAGCTCGTCGGTCCTCCACTCCGTCAAGGAGTGGTACTGCATCGACACTCATGACTCCGGTAGTGTGAGAACACTCAGATGAAGCAAAGGGGGCACATGCAGGGACGGCAATGGATCACCGCAAAGCTAGAAATGAAAGCTCTACAAGTTGAAATAGAAGTAGTAGTACTGTAAGAAAGGGCCAATGGCAGATTTATGCAAATGAAATCACTTCACGTACGACTAAAGCCAGTCTGATTTTTGTACAAACCAACAATGGATGGTGACAATGCTTCCAACTTCCTACATAGGCAAGCAGCGCTGCATATTTTGCATCGTTCAAAGATCTTATGGGTTTGTCATGCATGATTGCGTGAAGCATCGCTCTTAATTATGCAAATGCAAGTATTCTCAAATATTTCAATCAATATATAATGTGCAAACCTAGTCACGAAGCCTGTACCGATCATCACGGCTAGGAGATTTGAGAAAACTTGCATCAAACAGGCAATTCGTTGACATAAACCAACCTCAGTGATATGTCATCCGAGAAAACTTGCATGGGTAATGCATCAAACAGGCAATCTGAAAAATAGATAAACAATGGCATGGTAATGTGATATTATAGGATAATTGACTTAAAGGATGGTCTAAGAGAAAACCTTTGGTGGTTCACAAGCCGTATTGAGGATCAGATGCTGCACATTTGTAAACACTTTAACAAGTGCAGTAATATCATGCTCAAGACTATCTCCAAAATACCATATGTATGCACATTCCAGTTCCGATGATTTATCGAGGTCAATAGGCACTGCAACTCTGTATTCGAAAGTCGCAAAGTTCACGGCATGGAATTCTATACTTGTTAGATTGCACGGAGCAGTTTTTAAGTATAGCAGGTGTTGCAGTGGGCAGTTAACCTTCAGTTCACCATTGAGATGACAACTAACAATACTCAGCCACTCTAGGCTAGAGCAGTTTGAGAACATACGTGTAATATCCTTCCCATTGACGTTCACTAAGTTCAGGTCAAGCTTCCGTAGTTTAGGTAAACCACTCAACTGCATTGGTGGCTGGAAATCTACAAAACTAAGATGAATTTTCTGTAGACAGCCTATATGTCCTTGTCTAAAAGCTCAAATGGGAATCTGTACCGATCATCACGGCTAGGAGATTTGCGGTCTTCTGCTGCTAAATCCAAAACAAGTGCCTTTGCCTGTGATGATTTTTTTTTGGAAATGGAGGTTAAACCCCCGGCCTCTGCATCAATCGATGCATGCAACCATCTTTATTAATTATTCCACGAGGTTCTGACAAGAACATACATCAAGTCACCCGAAGCCACCACTCACACCTACAAACATGATAATGTGGAGTGCTCTCACTCCTCATATCTAAAGCCGATGCCGTCGCCGATCTATCCATGCATCTAACGTATCGGAACAAACAACCGGTGCGGCAAACCTAAAGCATACACTCCTTGCACACGTTTTAGAGGCCGCCATCATCATCGAACCGCTGTCCCATCTTCAGGAGAGGGATCCGCATCATTCTTGCCAGTCCGTCCATCCGTCGACGCCACCACGGCGCCCAACGACTCCACCGCTCTGCGCTCGTCCATCCTGACGCGAACACTCTGGAAAATCTGTCGTGCGTAGCACCTGGCGACTAGGCATGACTCAGCGTAGCACCTGTCGGCCAGGCATGACTTGACATCTCTTACCAGACGCATCTGACGTAGTTAGTGTTAGAATTGTGTCGAATATTATTGTACAAGGTAGGTTACAGTTGGACTTGGTTTGAGACTGTGTGTAGACAGGATAGAAGTCGTGTTCAAGTAGGACACTTGTATCCTAGACCTCTCATATATAGCGGGGGTAGACATACGATGTAACCTATGCCAACATAATAGCATGGGCATGCGGGGGGAGCCGGCGGCGTGTGCCGGCGCCCGGGCGGCCGGGGTGTGGTATTGTGACGGTGTCATGGGAAGGAGCGCCCATAGTCATGCCCCGGGGATATAGCCATGATGATGAACTTCGTTAACAAATCTCGGTGTCATGCTGGTGTGATTGCTTGGTCCTCGGTAGATCGACGAAGCGCCTTGAATTTATTCTAGCAAGTGGTATCACGAGTAAGGTTACGAGGAGGTTGCGGTTCTGTTTGATCTAGAGGAAGCGACAAAGACCGGCGGATGGTCACGGTGAACGTGTGGGTTCGCACGATTTCAGGAGGACCTCGGCAATGTTCGAAGATCCGCAGGTGAAAAGCAATTAGGACGCACGAGGCGGATGCGTTTGTCAGGCGGCGATTGCAGCGGCAGCATGCTAGATGCGGATCTCGGCGGAATCGTGCTGAAGCTGAACTTCTCGGCGTCTCGTTGTTGGCGAGATGCGATCGTTGGCTGGCGGCACGTGCGGACTCCCTTGCTAGGGTGTGTACGCCGAACTCTCGATGCCCAAGCATGCGGCAAGTCCGCGGTTCACGTGCGGGCGTGACCGACGCACTAAAGGACGTGAGGCCTAGTCGCGGGCGGGCGGGCATGGCATGAGGCACGATGGCCTGGCTGCGAGGCCCAGGCTCGGCTGTTTGGGAGCCGCGTGATGCAAGACACCGCGTGGGAAGCCGACTGCGAGCAAATTGGTCTGACAGGAGCAATGGCGTGAGATTTGTTGCTGAAAAAAGGTGCCGTTCTTGTGCGTGCATGGAGGAGCTATTAGTGGACCAAGACAAGAGAAGGGAATTGTGCGGAGGGATCACTTGGTCAGGTTTGCATGAAAATTTCTCTTGTGGGTCATGTTTTCGCTAAGAGTGCTTGGTGCGTGTACGTTAAGGACGGCAGCACGCGCATAAGGCTTGGAGGAGCCTGGCGTGCACCGTGGCAGGATCATGCAAACATAGAGCGTCAAGTAATGCACGAAGATATGCAGGCGGACACGACGCAAGGTGGAGCATGGTTGCAGTCG